TCAATCACCTTTTGATACACAGTGTTTGATATCTTCTGAAGTTTTACGATCTCTTTGTGATCACTCTCTTCATTATGATTATTATGAACGCTATTATTGTTTGTAGTTTTGGTCGAAAAACAGCCGAAGCTCTCAATGCAACTGTTTTTGATAGTCTCGATGGAGGTGTCGGTGATAACAGAGCACTGGTTGGGGTATATAATGTCGGACAACGAGTGATTAGTATCGTTGCTGTTATTGATGGCATCGATGGGAAAGTTTCGCGGTTTGGGCGCAGAGTCGTAGCAATCGGTGCACTCATTAATAGCGGACAACCCTTTCAAAGGATTAACATTGCATTTATGTGTCTCGTCGGCCTTCAATGGACTCCCAATCGGTGTACCACTGGTTGAAAGACTCGACTGCTGTGAGGGTGAACTCAAATCGGCAAATATTTGCTGCAATTCCGAGTGAGGCTTATGCTCGACGACGGGAACGGCAACCGCACCGACACTACCCATCACCTCATTGCTCGTGTATTTGATGATTGAATGCATTTCAATGTCTTGAGCGGGCGGTGAGCTCTTGGGATAGTCGCCATTGGATGACGAGGTGGTCCTCTCGCTGTTCACGTCGTAATTGTTTTGGATTAAGTTCACCACATTTGGGAACTGGTAGGTCGTGGTCGAGTCGGCCACCTTTGAGGGCAATCTCTGACCGGTTTGGCGTTTCTTTCGGTTTTCGACGATTTTGTTCCGCAGATTCACTTTCTCTTCGTCCGAAAGGATCCATTCCTACCATAAGTTGTCATAAGATATGCAAACAATTTGTCAATAATTATTGAGAAACGACTGAAAGGTTTGAAGTTTGAAATACTTTTTTCATTCCCAAATCCAAGCATTTCTTGAGCCGACACTTCTTGCAGAACTTTCTGGTGACTAAATCGATGCGACAATTGTTATCGAAAGGACATTTGAAATCCTAGTTCATGTATATCCAGTGTTTCAAAAGGAGTTTCCCGTGAGTTTCAGCGAACATCATATGTAAAGTTAAATTGAAATTTAATTTTTCGTGATTTTATTAAACAAGGAAATAAAATTTAGAAACTTCTGTCATAATACATAATAGTATAGTCTTTATAAATGTATTTTTTGCAAACATTTTATACCTTTTTTCTCAACGCGTTTCGCCTGAAGAACGCTTTACACGATTCACATGTAATTGCATTGAAATTATAGCCTAAAAATCGATACAATAGTATTATTACATAATTAGTAAAATCGATAAAATATAAACAAAATTAATATTTATAAGTTATAAGTTATAACAAAGACATAATCAATATAATACGGATGAATACCATGAGCTTTATCGCCACAAATGCCACATAATTTTGACACTTCTTTATCGTTCATTACGACATGAAAATCACTGCAATTGTAGAGAAATAAACTGTTCATCAAATAATTGTTTGTTTTTAAATTTTTTGTGTTAGACTTGTTTTGTTTGATGGTAGATAATAATTTTTATATATCGTAAAAATAATATTAAAAATAGATTGTAATTAATTGAAAACTTGCAAACTCATTATTACTGAATATATAAATATTAGTTAATATATACAGAGTGTCATAAATACGATACATACCTATGAATGCATAAAAAGTCTATTTGGAGACTAACCGTACGGTAAGGCAATTGAAACAAGTTTTTTGAATCATGGTTTGGGGAACCGAGACGTGAATTACTGGTGCGGAGGTGTCGGTGCTATAATATGATCGTAATATAACGCCAAATGCATTATTAAGCAAATAATATTGCTGGAATATGTTTTGAATATATGGATAATACAAACCGATTTTAGTGGGAATTTTTTTTGTCGCACGTAGAAAATAATAAAAACAAAAATATTTTTATATGTTGTTCACTCGCGGAGTGTATAATATTTGTTAGTATAGTATCATAAAAACTGGTTGAGAGATAACAACACGAGTTTGATTGCGTATCTCAAATAGGATACTCGTAGAGACTAATGGTATTATAATGTGGATTTTTATTTAGCTAGCAAATATTTTAGCCTTGTCCACAAACATTAGTTTCAAAAAACTTTAAATACAACACAGCAATAGCGATTATACACGTTATACACCATACACATTTTACATGATCATCTTTATAATTAATATATTTGAAAATATATATTTATTTATATTTTCATGTATTCACTAAAAAATAAATCAAATATACTACTATACTATAAATACATATTTCAGGTTTTCAATGCAATTGAGCAAAATAATCAGTACTAATGCACTCTCACTCTCACTATGTGTTAACTAATACTACAATTTTATGGCACCAAAACCAAATAATATATTAATTCCCATTCCATACTACCATTCCGTATACTGGTATACACTATCTACCAGTCCCTGAAACATGTAGTGAATTCTCTGTCTCTCACTGGCAAACATACACTACACTCTCATGTTGTGTCAGTTTATCGCTAGTTATGTGTTTGTTGTGATAACGACTGTTGTATTCAATGGCCAATAGTTTAGTCGAAAACTTGTTTGCCTCACAATATGTTCAATACATTGTAGATATATTCAGTCGATTCCGTCAAGTTTATCGCTAGTTATATGTTTGTTGTGATAACGACTGTTGTATTCAATGGCCAATAGTTTAGTCGAAAACTTGTTTGCCTCACAATATGTTCAATACATTGTAGATATATTCAGTCGATTCCGTCGATAATCTTTAAAATATGAAAATTGTTGTAAACTTATTGAATGAACACAGTGTGAGATGGTATGAAATATTTGTGTTCACAATATGCAGTGTTTGACTGTAATATCATTAGAGAGTGTTTTTGCGGAGAAAAAGTAGTTTTTAATACTATTAACTTCAATGTAAATTCAATACAATTTTCTATATGCTATCAATGCTCAAGGTTTTCATGGTTTCGTCAGATATTTCTCTCTACGCTTACTATTCATTGCTTTTTACACTGAATATTGAGAATATTTTTTCATACATACTATAAAAATTAGTTACTCTCTATAAAAATAGCTCTCACTCAAAATTTGCACCCAGGTTGATATTATGACAGATAACCCTGATGCAAATGTCATATAATACATGTACCTCCGGTATTGAGTCTATGACATCTACAACATGTTTGTGTGACTATTGAGTTATCATAAGAATCTCAAATTATAAATCATTTATAAGTTTATCGCTAGTTATGTGTTTGTTGTGATAACGACTGTTGTATTCAATGGCCAATAGTTTAGTCGAAAACTTGTTTGCCTCACAATATGTTCAATACATTGTAGATATATTCAGTCGATTCCGTCAAATAATTTTTAAAATATTAAAATTGTTGAAAACGTATTGAATGAACACAGTGTGAGATGGTATGAAATATTTGTGTTCACAATATGCGGTGTTTGACTGTAATATCATTAGAGAGTGTTTTTGCGGAGAGAAAAAGTAGTTTTTAATACTATTAACTTCAATGTAAATTCAATACAATTTTCTATATGCTATCAATGCTCAAGGTTTTCATGGTTTCGTCAGATATTTCTCTCTACGCTTACTATTCATTGTTTTTTTACACTGAATATTGAGAATATTTTTTCATACATACTATAAAAATTAGTTATTCTCTATATAAGTAGCTCTCACTCAAAATTTGCACCCAGGTTGATATGACAGATAACCCTGATGCAAATGTCATATAATACATGTACCTCCGGTATTGAGTCTATGACATCTACAACATGTTTGTGTGACTATTGAGTTATCATAAGAATCTCAAATTATAAATCATTTATTATCACCTGAGTACATTTTGGTTTAATAATTTGTTAGTGCAAAGTTGCACTCTTTTTAGTGCAAATTCATAGTGGTTTTACCAGGAATAAATAAAAAGCTAAATATAATTCAGTCAATAGTATTAATTGGCAGAGTATTTTAGTTGGAATAAATAGCATGGTGATAATTTATGTAGAATAAATTTTATTTATTTTGTTTGCACTAAATTGAATCCATAATTATTAACTCACCAAAAAAGTCATTATAATCAGACACATTTATTCATAGCAAACACGAACCCATTTATTTGTTTAACTCCCTGTCTATAGTATATGAGAATGAGGGGGTGATTGGGAGGACTGGGATGTGAATACCGGTGCGCCTATTAGATGACCAATTCATGCGTTGCTAAACACATTAAAACTTATGATTTTTTGTTTGTCGAAAATCAATTAAATATGAATTATTTTATAAAAACATGTTTAAAACTTTTATTGATGATTATATGGTACACAAAACAAAAAATCATAAAAATATGATTATAATAACGAGTAATAAATGAATCAAATTAATGGCATGTTTTAAAGGTCACTGGTGGTGGAAAAATAATAATGTTTATGCTAAACATGGTCGATGATAGTATAGTATAAATAATCATATTTTGTACCATTTTTAAATATAAATTACACGAATTAATATTGCACTGAAAATATACAGGGAATAACAAGTATTATATTTTGAAATACATTGTAATATAATTAACACTTTATAATGCTTTGCAAATGAATTAAATGTATAGATTTTCCTCTATTTTGTAAAACAATTTCTCAACAATTCCTCAGCAAATGAGTCACAAAACCATCAATTCATACGAGGGTTTCGTATCGCAAATCTCTTTGAGTAGGGGAAGTGGTGGGGTGGCCTGCCGGGCCTGTTTGATCATAAATGAGTTGGCGTGCCGTAGACTCAACCTCTGGATGTCCGCAAAATTACTCATTAGTTTCATTAGCCGTGTCTTCGCCTCGCATTCGGACCGATATTTCAGTTGTAAATATCGTTGCAATAAATGCATGTAAATGTGTCGCTGGAGTCTACGTAATATGAAATCATTATGTTTAGTTATAGTCATTATGTCCAAGATTAATTTTAATACTCACTTAACAGTCTCCTTATGAGCGAGATTCGGACGATTAGGGTTAAATAGTAATATCGCTGATAGCTAATAAATTTATGTAATTTAGTAATAATTATATTTAGTTTGTGGTAAAATGTATTGAATATTTACCAAATCGAGAACAAGGGGATCGCCATCCCATAGGTCCATCATATTTGTTATATATTTCTTATGTTCTTCATATAGGCCTACACTTATAGATGGATCAGGGTCTTTTATCCACATATTCAGGCTAACCCGAGACGATTTGTTATCATCCTATAAGATTTATACTTTAGACATTAGATATAAGTTTTATATAGCATACAGAATAACAATAAAGTGACTTCTTATTAATTGTAAACTAAAATAACAATTATAAAGACCTCGTATACAATCCAACTATCGGTGAGACTATCATAGGTGACAATGGACCGCAACATAAGCATCTCCAGTCCCCCCAACTTGAGGAGTGAGATCTGGTCGGAGTCGCAGACAGTGTTAAATCCTCGCAAACTCTTACACATCTTCACCATATTTGGGATGTCTTTCTCGCATTTGTTTAGTATAGTGTGGATGCAGTCGTGAAACTCCGTGGGCTCTGACGTGACAAATGGTATGAAGTTTCGCTGCAAATGACTGGTGGCGGCCAACAGCTCATTGAGACGACTGAACTCATTCTCGTTGAAGTTGTTGTTGTAGTCAGTGATGGGTCGACCCACCGGTATGACAGGCCAGTTGTTAAACTCAATCAAATCGCTGATATCATCGTCTGATATGTCGTTAATATGCGGCGAAAGCACTTCCACTTCCATTCCTCGGGAGTCCGATTCGTTAAAGCCATCAAAGTTTGTGGTGTTCTCGCTGTCTGGAGGGGAACAGGTGTTTGTGTCGATATTATTGATGTCTTTGTGGGCATAATTGTGGCCTGAGTTTGACGGTTCAGGGGATGAATCGCTGGAAGAGTCGATATAACTATTGCTGTCGTCGTTATACTTCCGCTTCTGGCGTTTGGTCTCTATTTTGATTCGTCGGACTTCCCTCTCGTCGTCATTCAGTATCCAATCCTAAGATTCAATTAATTTCCTTAATATTTATAGACTATTAAAAATATGTCAATCAATACCTGTCTCATCCCGATTGCGAAACATTTTTTGAGTCGACACGTGCGACAAAATCTTCTGGTAATCAAATCTATTTTGCAGTTATCGTTGAAATAACAGATATATTCCTATTATTAGAGGATTTGAATGATGAAAATTATTTTAATACATTTATTTCATTTAAATTATTTATAATAATTACATCAATTTTTGCCGCATTTCTCCGGAAGAATGCTTTACACGACTCACACGAAACGGCACCGAAATTCTTGCCTAAAGTCCGGAATTTCGGAAAATATTTTTAAAAATTCATAATTTAATAAATTTGTTATTTAATTAACTGTTTGTGCATCTAACAAATATAATAAAACACCTGTATTTTACTTGAATGAAAATCAATTGTACAATTATAAATTATTATACACTAACAATGGCTTACTTTATTTTTATTTAATTAGATAATAATTGTTTATAATTTATAAATGATACATAACATACCAATAGATTTATCGCCACAAACCAAACATGTTTTCAATTTGTTTGACATGGTTTCGTACGGGGACACAATGTATAAGTGCACAATATGTGTAACATTAATTCATCGCATACTATTAATAGAGAGAAAAATGAAATCTGAATAAAAAATTATTTATAAGAAGTGAAACTTTCTTATAACATCATAATTAAAACCCAGATCGATAAAAATGTTTTAAATAAATCATTGCTATGGGAATCCATAGACATACTGGGATACATGCACTCAACCTCATACATGTGTTGTCAACTGTTATATTCATTATCTAATTTACTATTTCATAGGTCTGTATCCAGCTAGTTATACAATTTTCGTATTTACAGCACTGTTTATTACCGCGTTTTACTATATATTACTGAATATTATTACACAAACATTTTTAGAACTTACCTTGAAACGCTGAATAAATATTAATATAGCAAAAATTAATATGAACTTTGAAACTTATTGATTTTAATATAATTAATCACAAACAATATAGTTATATTTAAACAGATCGATAACAATAATAAAAATGTTATTTACTAGTCAAAAACACAAATTTAAACTACAACAGCAACTATGTTGAATACACTGAATATGCTTAGAAAAGCTATGTATAATATACTGTACAATGGGATAGGGATGGATAAAAACCTAAATTACGAGGATAATATAGTGGTGCGCAGGTTCTCTGCAATTACCACAATCACCACTACATCATACTCTTGTAAAAGCCTTTTATAAGTGGAGTTTAGTGTTTAGAAAAAATTATACTTTTAAAACAAGTTTTTTAAAAAAATAAATTTTATATTGTTATACACAGTAGTATAGTATGTATTGACTGTTTTCCAGAATTTGCTATTTATTCATTGATAATTTAATACATGGCTTTTGGTATACAAGTACTTTTGTATATACTACAACTGTGAGCAAACAATAATTAGTAACTTCTAGTATTTAGTTATGAAATCATTAGGGGGTTTATAATTTCAAGGCTCTCATTATATTATATTTTTTATCGATTTGTAGATACCATGTGTAATCACTGCCATTGAGAAAGCATTGCATGATTATAAGTTATGAACGCATTGAATGGCAAATAACACATAAATTGTAGTTGACTTTAATGATGGCATAAACACATTAAAGGTAATTACATTAATTGTTTTCTTTTCTTGCATTTATTATGATCAGATAATTAAAAAGTCATTTTTCTTTAGCATTATTTCACTAGCGTTTCAAAAAAATAATCTATTTTTTATTAATGCCAAAATGTATTTGTATATTTCAGTAAAAGTCAAGCAACGAATTGTCTGCCTATTAATAAGTAAAATATTTTCAAAATACAGTATTACATTCACTTTAGTCCAAATAATTGTACTTAAGCTAAGCTAATATAAGTCCATGTGAACCGGCTTTTATTATTATCATATGAACTTATATTATTATTATATGTTAATTTATATAACAAATGTATGTCGGAAAATATCATCAAAAATAAATAGAAATTCTTGTTTATTATTGCTGTATAACTAAATATACGGGAAGTGTTGAGAATGTCTATGAATAGGTTATTGAAAATAAAATTTACTTTAACGTATATATTATTAGTTTTCAGACCCATTGAAGTGTTAGCCCTCGTAAACAATTGCTTATACAATTGCTGTATAATAGTTTTGTATATAAATTCTTGAATACATTATAATTACAGTGAATAAGTCTTTCCCGGTTTCCCCAATAATGCTATAAAACATACCATATTTTATATTGTATTTGTTATAAAATAAAGCACAATAAAAGTTATGAAACATTGTTAACAATAGGCATGAGTTTAAAACATGTTTCCTAAGCCATACATTTTTCAAATCATACATATCTTGAGATAGTAAAGTAATATAAAATAAGCTATTTTATATATCGCTAATAATTCAGGTAAAGCTGATAAAACTTGGTATGAGCTCATTGTGAACCTAATATGAGTACGTTAATTTTTATAATAATGTTACATGAAATTGATATATTACATGTTTTGATATTTTAAATTAAGTTATAATTACAGATGTGCACAAATATTTTCAATGTTTTCCGCGAAATTTGATAAATACTGATTGATTAGCAAATTTTATACCATTATTATTATCATGTGATTACCTAATGTCTCTAATCCTTTCAAATAGGGGCAGCGAGTATGCGGCCTTATAAATTGTATAATTAAATAATTTTAATTATATTAATATTAAAATATGTATTGAAATTGATAATAAATACCAAATCAGGTGTAAGAAGGTACAGCCCATTTTTTCGGTACAGTGTATATTTGTATATTTATGACCCGGATATTTTCACGACTGATGTGAACACTTTCAGAATTATAAACTATGTTTGATTGATTTCATACCCTGTTTATAATTTATATTTAAAATTTTGTTACTACAATTTTGTAGTACAAATAAAGTTAAAACAGTAATTGCATAACAATGCTATTAGCACTCGAGCGTTGTTTTATAATAAGAACCGGGGTATTTTATAAAATTGGTAACACTTTTGTGGTTTAAGGAATAAATTTTAATAATATATTATCCTCTGTTAAAATGATTTTTACAATTTTATTTACAATTTACAAATTCATCTCAAAACAGTCGACTGATATGCAGGCCTTGTATCACAAATCTCACTGAGAAGTGGTGTTTCATTTTTGTAGGCATGCCTGACCATGAAGGCATTGGCGTGACATATGCCCAGCTCATGGATATCTTCGAAACTACTCATTAGTCTCATTAGCCGTAACTTTGCCTCGCATTCAGACCGATATTTTAAATGTAAATATCGTTGCAATAAATGCATGTACATATGTCGCTGGAGTCTAGATAATACAAAATTATCATTTTTATACAATGTAGTGGACATATGGATCCATTTCGCGACTTACTTAACGGTATCCCTATGTGTGAGGTTCGGTCGGTTGGGATTAAACAGCAATATCAACGTTAACTAAACAAATTAATTAATAATATTTGGTATGATAAAAATAAATTCTAGATTATATTGGGTACCAAATCGAGAGTAAGGGGATCGCCGTCCCATATGTCCAACATATTTGATATATACTTGTGGTGCATGTCGTAAAATCCATTATTTGAAATACTAGGTTCAGGTGTAGACAATCGCCATAATTTAAGGCTCACGCGCGCGGATTTGGTGTTATCCTACATAACCGTATTTATAACTATTAACTAATAGCTAAATATTGAGTTAATTGTGCGAAAAACTTATGCTAATGAATATAAATACCTCGAACACAATCCAACTATCGGTGAGACTATCATAGGTGATGATTGAGCGCAATAATATCATCTCCAGTCCCCCCAACTTGAGGAGTGAGATCTGGTCGGAGTCGCAGACAGTGTTAAATCCGCGCAAACTCTTACACATCTTCACCAGTTTTGGGATATCTTTCTCGCATTTAGTGAACAAAATTCTGGCGCATTCCTCGGAAACGGTGGGCTCTGACGTGACAAATGATATGAAGTTTCGCTGCAAATGACTGGTGGCCGCCATCAGCTCATTGAGACTATTATACTCTTTCTCGTTGAAGCCGTTGTTGTAGTCAGTGATGGGTCGCCCAATGGGTACGACAGGCCAGTCGTCAAACTTAATCAAATTGTTGATATCATCTTCTGATGATTTTGGCGCAAACACTTCCACTTCCATACCTCTTGAGTTAGTGTCAGAGTCAGTGATGGATCGCCCAACCGGTACGACAGACCAGTTGTCAGACACAACGGCATCGGTGTTATTATCATCGGTTGATATGTCGCTAATGTGTGGTGAAAGCACTCCCACTTTCATACCGTGTAAATTGGATATATTGGATCCATTGCCAGCGCCATCATTGGTTATGGTGCTCTTAACGTCTGGTGGGGAACAGGTGTTTGTGTTTATGTCATTGATGTCTTTGTGGGCATAATTGTAGCCTGAATTTGACTGTTCAGGGGATGAATCGCTGGAAGAGTCGATATAACTATTGCTGTCGTCGTTATACTTCCGCTTCTGGCGTTTGGTCTCTATTTTGATTCGTCGGACTTCCCTCTCCTCGTCATTCAGTATCCAATCCTAAGATTCAGTTAATTTCCTTAATATTTATAGACTATTAAAATGCGAAATCAATACCTGTCTCATCCCGACTGCGAAACATTTTTTGAGTCGACACGTGCGACAAAATCTTCTGGTAACCAAATTTATTTTGCAGTTATTGTTGAAATAACAAACATATTCCTGTTATTAGAGTATTTTGTGGTAAATATTTTTTATTAAAAATGTTTTTAATAATTACATTAAATTTTGTCGCATTTCTTCGGAAGAATGCTTTACACGATTCACACGAAACGGCACCGAAATTCTTGCCTAAAGAATATTCCGTAAAATATTTGGACAAATAATTAACTTGTTTTTAAAACAAGTGAGATTAAACACTTGTAGTTTTTTATAATATAAATGAAATATAATTATAAAACCGATGTTTTTATGACATACTTTCATTTTTGTTTTAAAAACTAAAATTAATTAATCTAGTATTAGTACATTTGTATATAAATCACATACCAATAGACTTGTCGCCACAAACCAAACATGATTTCAATTTGCTTGACATATCTTGTTGAAACAATTCACAAGTGCAAAATATTACTACAGTGAATACAAAAATAAAATAAAATCGACAAAATATTTTTACTATAATAAGAATTGCAACTTGCATATAATATTATGGTTATAAAGAACATAAAATCGATAAAACGAATAAAATATTAAATGATTGCCAAAGATACATGCACAAAAGTATATACACTATTTAGTCAACTGTCATGCACAATAAACTACTAGTTACAAGTTTAATATGGAGTACAATGTAATGTACATTAAGTACATTAAGTACAGAATATTAACTGATAGGAATATTACATTGTAATCTTACAAAGTCATTGCTATTTATGAGAATTTACTATTTTCATTAAAATGTACTGGTATTTAAATATTGAACATACCTTACAATCATAGATATATTAAATATGTAAATAATTAGTATAATATTATTAATTTTAAAAGTCACAAATACTAATGCACTAATCGATAATATAATATATCAAGCTACTAATCAATATAAAATATTGTCTTTAGAATAATAAAAATTTTATGTTATAAAATATTCAAATAAATTCTTATTAAATACTTGTTACATGTTACACTTGTTAAAAAATACTTGTTAAATATGTCTAAAAAATATAATATCCAGTTGACTAGTGGTAGAAAAACCTAAATGACTCTGATTATATTCTGGTGCGCAAGTCACTGCCACTACTGGATAAAGTGGTTTATAACTGATGTCTGTGTTTAAAAAAAATTGTTGAAAACAACTTTTTATAAAATAACTTCAACAAAATACTACATTTTTTTGAAAACAATTGTAAACTAAATAAAACATTGACCTGGTTGCACCTGAATTCAAGAAAGGTGTATCAAATCAATTGTAATGATAGTAATAAGCTATATATTGGAGAAACTAGGCGGTTTTTTAAGACTCGTTTGAATGAACACAAGATATGTGTCATAAGAATTTCATTGTCATTGCCTCCCATTGCCTCACATTGTCATCAAAATAACCATTCAATGGCTTGGAGTGAATCCAAAGTCATCAAAAATTGTAGCAATTGGACCGATGGAAAGATATTAGAGTCACTGATAATTATAGGTTTTGATGAAACATCACTAATTAATAGAGATAAAGGATTTCAAGTAAATCAAATCTGGAGTTTAGTTATCGATACGATCTCGTGATTTGTCTATTATTTAGTTTTGAAAAGTTTTAATTCATTTAATCTCATATTTTGTGTTAACTCCTGACGAAGGCTCCAATTAGGACCGAAAGTACTCGAGTTTTAAGATCTAATAAATATCATAAATCTTCGCTAAGTCTAAAGAGTTATTTAATAAATAAAACATTTTTCAAATTACACTTTCTATTCACTTTACTCTATTTTCGTGACTTTTATATTTTATATTGTAGTTATATCTTAAGTTATATTTAGTTATATTTAGTTTAGTATAGTTTAGTATAGTTATGTTTAGTTATATCTTAGTTATATCTTAAGTATAATACCGTATGTATATTATACAAAACTATTAGAGTTTTAATGATAACATTGCTTTAAAATAAGTTGCATAAAATTGTATTAATAAGTTATTGAACATTTAATACTGTTTCAATCCTTAATGTTTAGGTCTATTGATGTGTAGTTCCTCGTAATGAATAGTTTACGTAATAATGATATAAGTTATATAATACACATTTGTGTCAATTCTTGTACACAATATATTAAATAACTTTTCAAGCTTAAAAAACAGGTGATGTTGGTTAAAATTTTTAAATCAAAGTAGTAGTTTCAATATTTTGATTACATTTAAATTAGAATTCACCAATTTATATTAAATAAAACTTACAATTTGTATTAAAATTTGTTAACAATTAACACAATTTTATACAAAGTATAATTTATAAGATTTGTCGTATTTTTCTCATAGAAGGTGTAGATAATGTTGTTTAACTTATTGATACTAGTTTACTTTATATAAAAATAACATTTGTTATGAATTAATTACGAAATTGTATCTGTATCTACCTGTAGCTTGAACACTTGAGGACATTGTATGTAATAGGATATAGATTTTACCTTTTCCTCTATTTTTTATACAGTATTAAAACTATATATAAACTAATTAATACCACTCTTACGTTACAGTGCGGTAAATAATTTCAGTATAATTTATTCTGTAATTAATTAACTTATATCAATATGACCTCATACCATATTACAATCTGTTACCGTACATGTTTATTATTAGATATATGCTTTTTATTTAAGAAGGTACATGCAAATATTTATTAATTAAGTGTCATTGTTTAATATCACAAATCTCATGAAATATGGGCAGCGAATACCCGTCCCTCTGAGGGCTGTAGTGCTCGATGAAAGAGTTGGCGTGAAATTTACTTAAATCATGAATTTCACGGAAGTTTTGCATAAAATTTGATAGTCTTGTCTTTGCCTCGTATTCCGATCCGTATTTCATTTGTAAATATCGCTGCAATAAATGAATATAAACGTGCCTGTGGAGTCTGTGTAAACAATTAAATAATTAAGCTTGTTCAAAAATAGGCAATATTTAACTCTCATGCGTGTCTCACCTAACAGTGTCCTTATGAGTGAGATTAGGACGGTCCGGGTTAAATAGTAGTATAATTGTCAGCTAAATAAATGGTAAATTATATGAAATATTGTGTAATGATATGAAATTATTTAAACAATTACCAAATGTATGACAAGTGGGTCTCCATCCCATTTACTCGACATTGTGCTTAACAAGTTCATATATCCCGTATATTTTCTCTCTTGGAATCTCCAGAATTCCAGACTGAGCTTGGTTGATTTGTCACCCTATACAATATGAACATTACGACAATTAATAGCATTAAAATAAATTGTCAGTTACAACTACAAACTGCCCGTAAAAGTGGTATTGTAGTAATAATACCTGGGGTATAATGAAGCATTTGGTGGCCGAATCATAAGTGCAAATAAGCCTCTGAACCAACATCTCGATCGCCCCGAACTTGAGGAGTGAGATCTGGTCGTCACCACAAAGGGTGTCAAATGCCCTTAAATGGCGGCACATCCGCACAATAAGTGGTATTTCCGTTTCGCCCTTATTTCGCAAACAATGAATAAACTCATAAAAGTCTGTGGCCTCTGATGTGGCGATAGGAATGAGGTCCGGTAGGGAATGGTTGGACGCAGTGATCACTTCTTGGAGACGACCCAATTCACTGTCATTAAGCTGTTTGTGGTTTTCAGCGATCGATCGCTCGATGGGAATGTCGTCTAAATCAATGTCTGCTATAATTTTGATTAAGTCATCCGATATGTCGAGTGAAAGGTCATCCGGTTGTTCAGCACTAGGATTATTGTCCGACTGTTGTGTCAAATGGCTATCACTGGATGTGTCCGATGCTATCTGCGGTGACCCATCAGTATTGATACCTTTGTGGCGTTGACTCAACTTTTGACGGTTTGTCGCGATTTTGAGTCGTCTCTCCTCCCTCTCCTCATCGCTTAATATCCAACTCTAATGACAAGAATTATGACATAATTGACATTATAATTGAAAATACATTCATTGAATGCAAACCTCTTTCATTCCGACAACAAAGCATTTCTTCAATCGACAGAATTTACAGAATCTTCTGGTGATGGGGTCTATACGACAGTTGCTGTTGAAATGACACCAAATACTCTGTGTATGAAATAAATTATACATATATTGAATGAAAATCTAGATATATTATAATTAATTTCAAATGTAATTCAGTGATAATTACATCCTTTTTGTGGGCATTCCTACGGAAGAATGCTTTGCATGACTCGCACGAAACGGCACCGAAATTCTTGCCTTAAAAATATTTGTTCACAATTAGGGATCAAAATATTAATATTAATTACAAAAAGAGCTGCTCTAATATAACTGCTCTGTGTTGTCAAAGTATAATATTTAAATATAAACTAGTACATAATTTGTACTTCATTTACATACCAATTGAGTGATCGTTACACACCAAACATTTGTATATTTTAGTTGACATTTTAGAGTTGATTTTGAGATGACTATAAGATAACTTTAAATGAAATAAAATAAATATCACAACATTTGATCAGAATAATAGATACGCTGCTAAGAGATATACAGTCAATTTTCATACAAGCAAGGGAGACAATGCTTAATGAATGCCTATTATACAATGAATCTCAACAATAATTACTAGTATTACTAGTTAAACCGACTCGGCCTTGATTATTTTGATAGTTTCAGTACAGTGTTTCAATACCTGCATCAGGAAGACAATGCTTAATGAATGCCTATTATACAATGAATCTCAACAATAATTACTAGTATTACTAGTTAAACCGACTCGGCCTTGATTATTTTGATAGTTTCAGTACAGTGTTTCAATACCTGCATCAGGGTTTTCCATGGTTAATAGTTATAAATATTAAACTAATACTGTTTACTGTACTTACTGTATATTACAGATTATACTGTACACACAGTGTATTGTATTGTATTCATATAATTCCCAGAATATAATTATGTTTTTGCACGGTAAAATTTTAGCGTGATAATTATTAGACTAATATGTTATTTGTCAAAACTAAAAAATTATTAACTCTTAATATTGTATACTATTAATAGTATATTCTTACTTTTCAAGGTTTTTATAAATCCTTAAACTGAATAATAAAATTAAATTTAGTTTCATAAATTATTAACGAGCTAATTATATATTTGAAATAAAAAGTATTTCGTAAATTAATTATTTATTAATCACATTAAATATGAGTACATTAAATGTTTTTATTTTTTAAATCACGTGTATTTTACAGATAATAAATATACAAATGACAAACATTAAACAAAAAATCTATATATTGAACATTGATTAAATGTTTACGGGCAAAAATATATTAAAGTTAACAAGACAATTAACCCAAAACAGTGATATTACTAGTATTAGTTGTATTGATGTTGCAAATCTCTTTGAGAAGGGGAAAGGGGTTCTGGAGGTTCGGGTGGTCCCGCATGAAAGAGGTGGCGTGTCTTACACTCAAGTCGTGAATGTCATCAAAATTACTCATAAAAAATAAGAGTCGCGTCTTAGCCTCGCAATCGGACCGGTATTTCAATAGTAGGTATCGATTGAGTAAATGCATATAACAATACCTTTGAAGTCTATATGAAATAACAAAACAATTAATCGAAAATTTGATAAAAACAAATCAATTCATTATATACTTAATAGCCTCAACATGTTGGAGGTTAGGCCGGTTTGGGTTGAATAGCAATATTGCCGTTAACTAAACAAATAAATTAAACCAAATTAAGCTTCAATATAACATACCTCATATTTTATTAGTATAATATTAAAATGCAAACCAAATCCAAAATAATAGGGTCGCCATCCCATTGGCTCAACATTTTGTTGATCCAGTTACTATGACCGGTATATTTGATCGCTTCACGCGAGCACTTCCAGAATTCCAAACTGAGCCTGGTTGATTTGTTATCCTATTATGACAATTTATACATTTCAATTTAATATACTTTATGAATTGATGCAAACTAGACAACGCTATAAGTATGGTAACCATAATTACCTCGACCACAATATAGCAATTGGTGTTGCGGTCAATGGTGACCACAAATCTGAATAAAATCACTTCAAGTGTCCCAAACTTGAGGAGTGAGATCTGGTCGGACTCGCAGATGGTGTTGAATCCATGCAAACTCTGACACATTTTCACAATAACCGGGATATCATTCTCACACTTCCGGAGCAGACAATTCAAAAAGTCGTTGAATTGTTTGGGCTCTTCAGTGGCCACTGGTATGTAGTTTCGCTGCATATGATTGGTGGCCGACAACAGCTCCTGGAGCCTAAGGAACTCATTCTCAGTAAAGTTGTTGTTGTAGTCAGTGATGGGTCGGGCGATAGGGATGACCGCGAAGTCAAACTCAACCACACTTTCATAGGCATTGTCTGTAACCTTATAGTGCGGATCAAACACTTTGGCAGACATTTGTTGACAATTATTAGGCGAATCTTCAGCGCCACTACTGTTGCATAATATGAGAGTTGAGTTACTGGTGTCGGCGCTATCATCACCAGTGGATGTGACACAGGCTTCAGGTGGTGAGGAATCAGTAGATTTGTTGTTTGTATGACTATTATCATTGGATTGGCTATGTTTTCGCTTAAGACGTCTCGACTCAATCTTCAGACGTCTTTCCTCTCTCTCCAAATCACTTAATATCCAATCCTTTTGTCAACAAAATTAAGATTATCTTTTGAATAGAAATTTTATGTTTAATATATGAATACCTCTTTCATTCCGATATCAAAGCATTTTGTGAGTCGACACGTGCGACAGAATCTTCTGGTGATTGAGTCTAATTGGCATTTGTTGTCGAAATTACACACAAATAGCTTTTTATATAGAAAATTAGTTAGAGATATAAATTGTTAGTTATTTGGTGTACAGAATATACTGTACTCTGATTTTGTGGGCATTTCTCCGGAAGAATGCTTTACACGACTCACACGTAACGGCACCGAAATTCTTGCCTAAAGAATATTTAATTAGAATTTAAATAAATTTTATTTTATAATTAAGGAATATTTCATATGTTTTTAGTTTATGAATATATTAATAATTTCATACCGAGTGCTCGGTCGCCACAAACCAGACAAACTAAATCGTCGGACATTATTTTATTCTGTAATTAATGACAAATTAATATACAGTATATTAGTATAATTATAAGACCTAGCTCAACTAATGAATTTTAGTAAATGTTGTAAAATTTTTATAACACTATTTTAATAGTATATTTATTGACAAATTATAAATGAATTCTATTTAAATAAAAATAGATATATATACATTGTATATTATACTGTACAATAATATTTGATATTATTTGTTTACCTTTCTAAAATATTACAAATTATTATTTATTCAGAATTTAAGAAATTATAAATTTCTCGATAAACACGATAAAAGATTTTACTAATATTTACACATTTTATTTAAAATATTAATTTATACAATATTTTATTGATATGTGAGGCACACAACTGTTTTGAACAACAAGTATAAGAATAAGTGTTGATTTTAATTGATGATTTTCACTTGATTTTTATCAAGGTTTTTCATACTATTCTATACACTGGTTAGTATACAATGTCAGTAATAGACTTAACAAAACCCGGAATATTGATTTAACAAAATAATTATTTATAATGTTGTACTCAATAGTCGTTATTTTAATATTTATTTTTCATCATTTAGTGGAGAGAATGCACTAAAGACTAAATAATATCTAATATTATGGGAACAAGTTTTCCTGATTATACATGACTTGATAGTCAATGAATTTATAAAATAGTAAGGATTTTAGTGCAACATTAGTTCATATCGCTTGCATGAGCTCATAGGGGGCACTAAATTATTGCTAAGATATCATAGAATTTAATTTTAAGAATTCTCCAGGTAGGCTTACAGAATTATTATCTGTCTGTATAATGAAATCTATTTTTGCAAATCGTTAATAATTTTCGAAATAACCCAGTAAATTACTAGACATAGCAAAATACACAGTAGTTTTAACTGTAGTTTACAAAATGTTCTATAAATTAAAAATGTAAATTATATAATATTAAAACAGGGTAGTTTTGTTCAGATGTTCAAACAATTCATTGTCAAAAATAATCATCCGGTTCCGGAATCCGTAGAATTATTATTTGTATAGAATATTAGTATAGTTAGTGTATTAACACTATTCTCTGTATGATATCTAAACAACAAGTTTTAAAAACCTAATTACATTTTACTAATAAATTAGATTTGAAAAAATCTTTAATTATAGTGAGAAATTAATTTATCGCTCAAATTAAGACACTTAAGCTATTATTTATTAATATTAAAAATATTTGTAGTTTAGATATATTTTGTACAAATGAATTTATTTTGTAGTTTAGTTTTTGTGTAGAATATTATTAATGTTAGTGTTTTACTAACACTTATCTCTATAATATAGAGTAAATATGATATCTAAACAACATATACATGTATTTTAAATTTTTAAAAATTACATTCTACTATTAAATTAAATTTAATAAAATCTTTATTGCTCAAATTACGACACGTAAGCTATTATATTAATTTTAAGCATATTTGCAAAACATTAACTTCTTTTAAGTTAACAACAGTTTAATAGATTAATATTTTAGTTAAACTTTTTATTTGTTAAATCACTGTCAAAATGAAGTGTTTCTTGATCATTTCAATCTCATTGGCTTATACAGCAAATGGTATATATACTGTATATCCTATCATTAATTTCTTACTGATTGATTACTACATTTTAAACCATTTGCTTAACTTTATTTTGATTGCAAAATGAAACCTTTTAAATATATGTTGCCTAACCACCCTTTTATACAACACAAACTTACCTAAGTTATAAACTTGTTGAATTATCAAACATACTTAAAATTTATATATTTTATTTATATGGATTCTAGTTAATTAAATATTTTTAATTAGTTTTAAGCCGTAATACGGGAATAATACTAATTAGGAATTAATATTTATTATTGTAAATTCTATCTGGATTATAGCCCTTTATGAGCATAAAGTATCAACAATAGGACAGATAGGCACTATCAACAAGGACACCAATGATGTGTTAAAAACAAACGAGTTTCTCGGAGTCGAGAGAATGATACCAGACGACACACCCGAGCGTATCGCCAGCTTTTGTGCCGCTTATTTGGGCGAATCCGGGCAAAAGTATGTATTACACCATGCTCATTCTTAAATGTTATTTAACTTTGTCTATCGCATTAAATTAAACAATAATTATTTTAAAAATATGAATAAGTCATGAATAAGGTAGCAATTCAAATCAGATATTAACATGTTCATATGTCTACAGTCCTATAATCAATTCATTGTCAGTGTGGCTGAAAGTTGTGGGCACACTTAAGCCGGGTCTAATCGAAATACACGATAAGATTTTCAACGACCGCAGCCAAAAGAATGCCCCGGTCAATGGCATTGTATTCTGGTGTAAACTAAACAAACTGGACCATAATAGGGCGGTCAGTTTGGCTAAAACGTTCAACTCCAAGTTGGACCAGGCTGCTGCCATCAAGAACGCAGCCATTGGCCAGATACTGGTGGCGTCCAATCACAATAATAGCTTTCCCTATATGATAGGGTCGACCAATCACAATAAGACCACCCTGCCCCTTATTCTATGGTATAGTGTGCGCTATTTATTGTTTTCGATGCGGAATTATTATTATTATAATAGTTAACGAATTGTTTTTGTCTCAATGTATAGCACACTGCGATCGTATACCCAGCAGATTAAGTCGCTCTATAAGGACACCGAAGAATTGGAAATGTTTGCCAACTATTTGGTCGGTTATACCACAGCGTTGGCTGATTCGGTGGACACTGCACTGAATGTGAACAGTAAGGACTACCGGTGCCAATTAGGCGAACCTTCACTTGCAGATAAATTTGCTTTATGTCAGCCGGGGTTTTGCTACCAGTCCATGATGCATGTGGCATTTACCGCGATAAATAAGTATTTCTAATAACGCTTGGTAATTAGTATGATTTTATTATAGCATTGACCAAATTGCTTGCTACAAAAAACACTGTACCAATTTGTTTGAATAAATGAAGTTTATATTTTAAAAATGTTTTTATTTGAAGCACTGAGACAGGGTAGTTTTTTCAGATGTTTAAACATCTAATTGTCATAAATATTCCTCCGTTCCCGGAATCCATAGAAATGGTCATTCAATTCATGACACAAAGTGTCCTAAACTCACACATTTTGGCCATAATGTGGACATTAAGTGCTAAGTTAGAGATCTGAGAGATATTTATTTTAAATATATAATACATTTATTTTGTAGTTTAGTTTTGTATAGAATATTATTATTGTTAGTGTATTACTAACACTATTCTCTGTATGATATCTAAATAACATAATTTTAAAAAAATTTTTTTAATTACATTCTACTAATAAATTACAATTAATTTCTCACTCAAATTACGACATGTTTGTTTTTATATATTAATAGTATAAGTATATTTGTATATGTAAAACATTAAGTACTTTTAAGTTAACAACAGTTTAATAGTTTAATATTTTATTTAAACTATTTATTTGTTAAATCACTGTCAAATGAAGTGCTATTTGATCATCACAATCGTATTGGCTTATACAGCAAATTGTATGTGTATATACTATCATTAATTTCTTACTAATTATTACTACATTTTAAATTAATTTCTTAACTTTATTTTGGTTGCAAAATGAAACCATTTTAATATGTGATTGTCCAACCGCCCTTTTATACAATACAAACTCTCAAACTTGCCTAGTTGTTTGTTGACTTTTCAAAAGTACTTGAAGTAAATATAATTCAAGTAAATTAAATATTTTTAATTAGTATTAAGTAGTAATGCGTGTATATTATTGATTTAAAATTAAATGTATTAATAATTATTATTGTTAATTATTGTATATTTTGATTATACCCATTTATACCCCATACCCACCTGTATATTATTTTTACTAGTAATTAAAAAATTTCACAAATTCCTAAATTATTATTAAATTATCAGAGTAGTTATTACAATCCATTAAAGCATCCATTACATTAGTTATTTATTGCATTCATTTTATGACTTACAAAATTATTAATACCATAAAATCTTAACTTTAGGCAGTGGACAGGTAGGCATTATTGACGCGGACACCAATGATGTGTATAATGAAAACGAGTTCATCGGAACCGACAAAACTTTACCCGACACACCCGAGGGCATAGCCAGCTATTGTGAAAGTTATATGAGCCAGGCTAATCGGGAGTATGTATTACGTGATACAAATTGCCAAATCCTATTTAACTTTTCTGTCGCAATAAACTAGACAATAATTATCTTAAAAACATGAATAAGACATGCATAAAATTTAAGTAAGCTAATAATGTGTTCGTATATTTATAGTCGTATAGTCTACACATTGTCAGTGTGGCTAAAATTTGTGGGCTCACTTAAACCAGATCTAATTGCTATACACGATACCGTTTTCAACGACCCCACCAATGTCATACCAAACGCCATTGATTGGTTTTGCAAACTAAACGTCACTACGGCAGTGAGTGTGGCCAAAGGGTACAACTCGAAATTGGTTATAGGTCATTTGATCAAGGAGGCGGCCATTAACAATATACTGGTGGCGTCCAGGCAAAATAGTCACACCTTACCCCTTATTATATGGTATAGTATGTGATGTTTATTATTATGGGAACAGAATTATTATAATAATTAATGAATTGTTTGTCTCAATGTATAGCGCATTGCGTGAGTATACCGAACAGATTCAGTTGGCCCACAATGATAGCCCAGATTTGAGACATTTTGCCTACAGTTTGGTCCGCTATAGCACAGTGTTTGCCGATTTGGTGGACCCTAAACATCGTGTGAGAACTGAAGATAACCGGTGCGATTTAAGCAAGGACAACATATGCGACCCGGAGTTTAGCTACAAGTCCGTCATGCATGTAGCATTTGCCGGGTTGAATAAGTATTTTTAATAACGTTTAATAAAAAGCATAACTTTGTGGCATTTAGTGCATGATACAAGTGCTTGTTACAATGAACATTGTATGAATTTTT